CTCTCCTCCGCAAACCAAGCCTTCATTCGCACCTTCGTGCTTTCCATCAGCTCCAAAATGCGCGCCTTGATGGTGTTGCGGCTTGGGATACGGTACGCTAGATTCATGCCCTCCATGAGCGCCTCAAAATATGGACAATCCACAGCAGACAAGGCTTGGTTATCTTGAATGATCCACTCAACGAGCAGCCCCAACAGCTTGCCGCTCAGTATAACCGCCTCGCCCTTGGGACGAAAGCAAGACGGAACAGTGGACTCCTTGTTTGCCTCGATCGATCCCGAGTGGCGTGCAGCGACGTGGTCTTCGAACGTTTTAGTCGACACAAGAATAGTCTGACTAAATCCCGGTTTTTTGCAGCTTTTGCACACCACTCGAGCCTGAATATTGTTTGACTTGTCAGAATGCAGTTTCTTTAGCAGCGTATGGTTTGCACCAGCCGCTTCACACTTCTCTAATTCCGTCTTCTTCTTGCCTGACTCGACATCAACAACCTCGCGGCTTAGAACCATCTCGAACAGCGTCCAAAACTTTTTCTTGGAGTCTTTTGCACTCTCTGCGTCTTCTTCGGCCTGCTGCGAACCCCCCTCTGCAGGATTACCAGCGGTGGCATTGTCCACAGGGGTGTTGGGATTCGCAAGTAAAGGTGCATTTGCGGTATTTTCAGCGAGGGATGGCAATGTGTGTGCCATTGCCGTCACGACTTCAGGAGTCTGTCCAGCAACGAGAGACTGCACGACTTGAATCGCTGCCTCCGTAGAACTGAGAGTATCTCCTTTGGTACGCCGCTTGCGCTTTTGAACACGTGGAGCCACATCATCTTCTAATCCTCGCATACTAAGTTCCTCGTCGGAGTCGTCCGACTCCATATAGTCCACTATAACAGGTCGGCACGTAACTCTCGGCCATCCGGTTGGTCTACGGCTGTGTCGGGTGAGTTTATCGTACAAAGTATAGTCCAGGGTGAAGAGAAAACTTTTTCAGAATAATGTGCAAGGCCCCTGGCCCTGACCCCTGTAAAAGGCTATTAGCGGGCTAGGCTAGGCTATGCTATGCTAGAGGCCTGGGTCCTAGCATGAGCCTTAGCCTTAGCCTAGCCTTGCCTAGCCTGCCCTAGCATTAGCATTTACCTAGCATCGTATATGTGAGAAGCATCTTTGGGTTAAAGTAAACATTAACCGCGACTCTTCTGTTACGAGGATGGGCCATTGAGACGTTGCGGGATTTGCAGCTGGTCTGGAGCGCGCGGCGAGTGACAGATTGATAGTGGTGTGATCGTGCACATTCTATATAAAAGCGGATGGCTTTGAAAGTTCCTATTTTATTGGAGTACAAGAGTACACGCATAATTATAGCGAGTATCTGGCCATTAATTGAGAAGAATGCAAATTTCCGGTCATGTGCTTACCAAATATGAATATGTATGGACGGCAGATTTGCCAGATTCGACAGCAAGCTTTTGATTTCGTTCCAGGTTCTTCATGGCTAGTCGATTTGAGCCCACATCTGACTTAAGATTGATCTGTGCTGAAATTCGTGGAAAAGTAAAGATAGCTACTAAGGTTGCTATCCCGGCACCCTGCTCTATCGCTTGATCTTTCGTCCTTACAAAAAGTCTTCAGAATGGGATTTCCAAGTCCAAGCATTCGTGGACGTTAACATTAAGATGTAAATACCGTATGGTGAGGATAGTATAAATAATGCAATGCGCGTATTTTTATTGTTGCTATAGAATCACTTTCTTTCGTACGCGACAAATATTATCATATGCATGTCTACTGGTCTCTGTGTCGATACCGCTTCATTGTTGATGTCGAATGCAGATAAAAAGCAAACGGCATGTCGGCAGATAAAATGTTTAGCACATATTAGCAAAGCGATAAGCACCTACATCCTCAACTAGAATGACAGCTAAAATGGATCGCACTAAGATCACTCATTCCCTTTTTAACGAAATATTCGACTCTGAAACCATGTTGGTCAAACACAGCGATATTTCTTTGCACCTCTGATAACCACGATGAAGATCTCAAGTCAAGCTAACATACTGAAAGTATCCGTAAACATCGACACGATTACCATTAAAACAGCCATATTTTTCTTGTCAATTGATACGTCATTAGCAGATCGTATCACTACCACTGCGGTGACCATTCCTTCATAGTCACTGTGCTTTGTCCACATTGTGAAGCAACTTGTAACATCAACAAGATCGTCAAACGTGCCGTACGTTGCGAGTTAAAAGACCTGCGTCACGAGGCTTGTTAACATCGCTTCTTCAAATAGCATGACCGTGGCTGAGAGTGTCGTGCAGGTACACTTGAAGATTGCCTCTCGTACTAATGTAGTGAGCTTTGGTGTAGAAGCCATTTCAAAGATGTTTATATTAAGCGAATGATGTGCTAAGGCTCTGAAAGACGACGTCTATCACAGTGTGCCAACTAAAACATCAAAGAACTATCATCGACGACAAAGACAGTGACAATCTCGGATGACAATTAGATGAACATTCAAATGTTTGGAAAAGAATTTTTGTCAGTGTCGTCCCGATATCACACCTACATGATTTCCTAGCTCGTCCATATTGTGAAAGTTTAATTGACACCACAATCAACTTGAGCTCAAAACAAGCCCAACAGGACAATGGGTAATACCACGACTTAAGCCTTGATGTCACATCCTTAAAGTTCTCATGTATATAAAACTATAAACACATTGTTGTCCATATGTCAAATCTCCGTCTTTGTAAATCAATCCAAATGGAATGTGAAGCTGAATCCAGCACGCAGATTTATTGCAGCGACTCGCCCATACAAATGTTGGTACCAGCGTAACTTTAATGTCCCCTGAGCCACACAAAGTTGGTCGGGGAAATGTATCCCTCATCCTCGATGCAATTATCAATTGTGAAGCCAATAGATAGTGTACCTTAGTCCTAGATGTGCAACATTTTTCCAGATCTCTCGATAAAGTCAAGTATATCTGTCATAGCATTGGCGGACTTATCGTCCCTTTGGCTCTAAATGTTGATTCTAACAGTGTCCGGATCTCCTCACGATCCGGCTTGTTTATCGGGAGGGTTTCGTTGATAGAATAGGCTATTTCACTTCAAGTACTGTATTGAGTTCAGATAGGCTACTCACAAGCGTAAGATTTCAAGAGTCCAAAAAATTTAACGTACGTACGTTTAAGATACAGTTGTCGACATTCAAGTTGAAGAACTGAACCGCAAGGATTGTTGCAATTCATTACTTTCTGTTTTCGCAAGATGTATGGTTTCCGGCTCAAATACGATCAATGGCTGCGCAGATCCCCGTTATTGACGAAAGGCGTGACGTCGGCAATTCTTTTCGGTCTCGGTGACCGAATTGCACAGCGATTCGAGAATTCGGAGACTGCCAAAAGCGACCAGCATAAAGTTGATGACCATTTTGATCTCCAACGAATGGCTCGCATGATGGTGTGGGGTGGACTCTTTTTCGCTCCTATTGGTCATGCATGGTACAACTACCTAGAAAAGGTCGTTCCAGGAAAGGGAATTGCTGCGGTCGCTGGAAAGGTCGCTGCGGATCAACTTATCTTTTCGCCACCACTAGCAATTGCATTTTTCACCTACGCGGGAGTTTCCGAAAACAAATTGCTTCACAATTCAGTGGAGAATGCAGTCGACAAACTGGTACCAACACTTGTAGCGAATTGGTCTGTCTGGCCAATGGTTCACATGTGCACTTTTGGGTTCGTCCCGTTGCAGTACCGCATCTTGTTCATCAACATCGTTAACATTGGCTGGTCTGCTTTCCTATCTCGAATGGCAAGCAAAGATGAAGGCCATCAAAAACTTAAAAGGCTTCTTGACCAACAAACGGAAGGCGCAGAGGAAACAATGGCAGTTTGAGTTATCATGCCAAAAGAAACAGATTCTGTTTTAAGTGTCCAAACTATCACAACCATTAGTAAGAAGTTAATCACATCGTAAATACTGGCAGTCCAATGAATCATGCTAATAGAATTCAATTGCTCAACATATCACAATCATTAGTGAAGAAGTTACATTTCTGTATAACATCACAGACAACTATCCTATTGAGAGCTCGGCATCAACGAATGCCGCTTCAATTCCTATCAAATAGTTGGGTATCTCAACGAGAGGGTGGGCAAATCTGAATCAATGGGCAATATGGTCCAGCGAAGGTGGTAGAGAGACAACATTGCAAGAAGCTTTTCGATATCGCAAAACCGAAGTCGACATGGACGTATCGCATTTCTTGTCGAGATTGACTGAAAAGCTCTCTGGTAAAGGCTTTCAATGGAGCGCTCTCGATTGGAAGATGCAAATTAAAATGTTCAGCACAGCGTCTAGCTCTCATTCTTGACCACGCATTTTGAAAAAAAAATTTCTCACGATACAAGTTAACAGAAGCGACTACCCACTGCGAAATCGAAATCGCTTTTGCAGTCTCGCTTGACAACTATAGTCAGTTTCATCAAACAAAAGTAAATTCAAGAGAAACATCACCAAATTCGAAATCTTCACGCGATGTTGTCCACGTCTCATTTGGTGTCAGGATTGTTCTCATACATCCGTTAGAAATCTGGAGCAGCCACAATCAAACGCCGTGGTGAGATAATTTATTTTCGAGTCTTCAAACCAAAAGCGCTTCGTGAGAGTATCAACGAGATAGGTTATCAAATTCAACGACAAAAATGGGATCCCAGATTTCGCTGCGATACGTTCATGTCGACTAAATCACTAAGCCGCTAGGTCTATGAGACGCGCACGCAGCTTTCGGCAATTTATAATGCTGCCTTTCACTCAACTACATTCTTTGAACCACAAATGAACATTCAATAGGAAATATGCTGCTGCTTGCCAGAAACGGGTACAACTTCCGCATCACATTTTGTGTTGCTTTCTTAACCGAGCAAATGAAATACACTCTAACTAGTCAAACTCGATCATTTGTTTATGTGACGGCAAAACGCAAGTTGCCTTTACAAGGAAGAGCAATATTTGCTCGTGTAAGCTACGAACCTTTCTCGATTCAATAAATCTCCATCAAAAATTATTAACTCTCATGTAGCGTAAAAATAATGTTCTCTATACCAGTAATTAATTATTAGCGATCGGTCTAGAAGTCATGGATTCGCCACATCCCCACAGCGACGTCAGCTTAAAAGGTTCATGATAAGCCATTTTTGACAAGAATGTTGACCATACGAGACTGACACAATGTGTAAGTGGGGTGCGATAATGTAATGGTACCAATCCGAATATAATCGCGTTCGCTGCCGGCCATAACATATAATCTGCAAGTAAAGTCGGAGGTAATTTAGCTTTGGCAATTTGAAACGAATCATTGAAAGGCTCGCCCTCCATGCACTTTGTGATGGTAAAAAAAGCCAAAGACGTGGCTGGCGCGATGATAATCATGTCTGCTACCACTTTTTTTGCAACGACTAGTTTCCCTGTGCCTGGAATCATGTGTTCAATGACATGAAACCACGTGTGCATTATTGGTGCCGCAAAACACCCTCCCCACAGCATCATCCTGAGTGTTCGAGCTGTGCTATCACTTACAAGCTTCGGTGTATTGTCCATTCGATGAGGTACATGCTCACTTGTTAACTCGTCAAACATGCTCTCCTCTGTCTCGTTCTCAAGCATCTGCGCAATCTGATCCCCTGTGCCAAAAAGCGTGGTTGCTGTCACGACTTTGGTCAATAGCGGGGATTTATGCAGCCAATAATGATAAAGCGCGCCAACACGGCGCATGCTACTCTTCCAGAAGGAGGAAAAGAGTAAGAGTAGGCAGATACGTTGCCAGCGCACAAATAGATGATTGCTTACTCACTACTCACTATTTTTATCATATTTTACTTCTCAATGTTATTTCTTTATTGAAAATTTAATAGAATGTAATCTTTACAAAATTGCAGGGTAAGTGCAATTAAATGATCGAATGGTCGAATGAGTGAAGGTTCAAGCGATTTATTGGGAAGCATCGCAAGCAATGAGAGATTTCTAGCACAAATGCAAGAACGAGCAACAGATATTACTCAAGTCTCGGCAGCATTGATCGGTTTCGAATTGAAATACTAATACTTGAAGTATAGAAACGACGCAGCTACAAATATTCCATTCAAGCTTTTGGCCTTCAGTGTTCGGATCCGACAGAGCTCGTCCTTTTGAAACTATTCCTCACCTTCAACCGATCGTAAGCACAACTTTGATGATAATTGGCTGTTCTGTAGAGTCATGCATTGCAATGATCCTAATCATCTTAGATGTTGGTGTCACGTTCGCTAGAAGAAACGTCGCCGCTCTTCGTAATTTATTTTGCTATTTCGTACCACGGTATCCTTTACCACGACGAAGTCCAAATTCAGCGTTGTTCCATTCGCTTCCCACTCCAAATCCTGTGCGCGAGTCAATCACTGATTGGGTTGCTGCTTGAGTGGTGTGATTCACATTACCACGTGATAATGACGATCCGAAAGCAGAACCGGCATCCGACGAGCCTCCATCATTCATTATTTCGTCGCGTTCCATGTTTTGTAGCACCAGTCGCTTCAGTTCCGATTGCTCTTTCTTACCAGCATTTTCTTGACGATGACTGTGCTGAGCCAACGAGGATGCTTCCGGTACAATCAATTGACGAGCCTCAACTTTGCCTTTGTTACCACGACGCAGCATACGAAAGACTACGCCATCAGGAGGATCACTTGAATGAAGCGGGATAATACCACGAGATCCGGAAGTTGGAGCTACCGAACTCTTAACAACAGTAGGAATTGCCATCTTGTCTACGTTGACCCGTGTAGATGGTTTGCGCGTATCGGTTGTTCCATGCATCATTGATTTGAATGCTTTTTCAAATTCTTCATCGTCTTCACTTTTCTGAATACGGTCATGAATGATTAAGAGTTCTTCTTCATCAGTGGCGTCTTCATCGTCGTCGTCATCTTCGTCATCCTCGTCGTCCTCCTCATCTTCCTCGCCGTCTTCCCCGTCAACATGATCATCATCATCGTGCTCTTCGTCGTATTCTTCGTCATCATCTGTATCTTCTTCTTCATCTTCAAGAAAATCATCATCTTCGTCCCCCGGTTGAGACAACGATGGCTCCTCGGCGACACTTCCAAGACCATTCGTAGCCATCACCAACGCTGCGTTCTTCTTCCGCAACCGGCGTTCGGCTTCTTCCATATCGCCACGTAAAATCTGTTGAACAGCCTTATCAACTTCTTCCCAAGTCTCAAATTTCTGAAAGTGATCTTTCATACTGTTTGCGAGCATTTCAAAAAGATCAAACACGACAAAGTCCGTCTCTAAGGGTACGTCTGTTTTAGAAAACAGGTATCGCTGAAAAAAAACCATAAATCGCCCCAAACGCGGTCGCGAGATGCCTCGATCATTAACACCATTCATTCCAGTGAGATGTGCGATTCCACCTCCATTACACGTTTCAATCAACGCACTGACAAGTCTTATGCGAAATACTTCGTTTGGTCCGTCCACTGCACTTGGTACACGAGGATCGTAGCGCAAGTCTGGAACCAACAAAAATCGCTTCTTCACCTCTAACAACTGAGCGGCTGAAAGTTTATCGCTGCTATACTGTGGTAGCGTCAACAAGTCATGCGAATGATTGATCAAAAGATACAGCGTTTCTACCACCACATTCATGTTCACAAGCCCGCAATTATAAATCTCTCCAAGCAATTTCACGTATCCAAGGCTACGTTGATGGTCGCGGTAGTCATTCATTTCAAGTCCGTACCGAATGTACTCTAGCACATCGTCCACCAGCAAGACGAGAACTTCATCGTGATAGCGCGACAGTCCCTTCACAACTTCGCAGATCCACTTCATCTGCATGACTTTCCCTTTTGTCACTTTTAAAAGAGCCTTTAAAACCATGTCACAGGTTGTACTTTTTTGCCATGGAAGTCGGCGAAGTGTCTTAACCACCTTGTTGACATTCAGGCTATTCAGATCCTGATACAAGACCTTTAAAAGATACAGATACATAGGATCGTACTCCTTCACTTTGCACTCCACTCGTTCAGGTGGTTTGCACATATAATAAGCATTTTCCACCAATGTTTCTAGCTGCGGATCTAAATGCTTAACTGCTTTTAATTTCATCATGACATTTAAACACTTGACCGTTCGAGCATGTGTGTGTTTTGAGCAATACAAAAATCGACCACAATTTTCAAGAAATGTCGTGGCCACATGCACATTGTGGCCTTGAAAATCCTGAAAACATCTCTGCAAGCATCTAAAGCCTGTATTTGGTGGACAGATCCGAAATTTTACAAGCTCAGCGAGAAAGCGAATGTTTTTGATCTTAGACTCGAGACGAAATTGATTACGTCGCTTGACCAATCCATGAAATTCGCTCACAAGCAAGTTGACTAGCTCTCCACCAATATCGTCTTTCAGAACACTTTGCAAAGTCGCCACAAGACGTGCATAGTGTGCCAGAAGCTCTAAGTGCGTCCGTGGTACTGCAAATAACGTTTTCACGAGACGACCTCGTGTTGCCTTAGAATTACGATAGCAAAACTCAACTGCGGCCTTATCGCAACGGTCTCGATTAACCAAATCTTCCAACGATGCAAAGTAAGCATCCAATTGATGATGATAACTCGTTGAAGCACCACTTGATGACATTGCACTTGGATCTCCTATCGCATCGTTTAACTTACTTGTGTCATCATCCGCATCATTAAATACCAAGTCATTGCCCACATCAGCATCAAACTCCTCTAAAGTACCTTCATCTCCTTTCTTTCCATCATCCTCTGCAGTCACTTCATGTTCATCAATCTCGTTCTCCGCCTCTTCTTCTGCACTGGCAGAAGCTTCTTTCTTCTTCTTCAACTCGGCCACGTCCACTTCAGTAAGACCCAACACGACCGCAGGAACAAGTTCCAAGAGATCGGGAAAGTCTTCATAGAACGAGCGTGTCGCCTCGTCATCAAATGGGCTATCTCGACTCAAATCTCTACCGCCTCCTTCACCTCCTTCCCAGACGAGAATACCTCCATTTCCCAATCCATCTTCTTTTTTCTCAACCGGCAAAGGCGGTACTTGTCGATCTAATGCATCTGCCAATGAATTGACACTTGTTTGAAGTTTTTCAAATAAAACTTTGGCATTTTTGAGCTCCTGTACATGTTCTTCTGAAATTTCTCCTCGATTTGCTTCTTCTTTTTCATTTCTCGCTTCTAATTTCAACCACGTTGCGTGTTGTGCTAGATAAAACTTGCAAATCATATCATAAGCTTCTAAATAGCAGCTAAGACACTCTTTCTGCACAGACTCTGGTACCACATGCGTCTGGGTCTTGATCCACTGCTTAAACTCTTCATTTTCAGCCAGATTCTTTTCTAATTCCTTAAATTTCTTTGGTTGAACTCCTAAAAACTCCACACCTACAGACTTTGCAAAGCTCACGAGAAGCGGAACTTCTAATTGTTGTGAAGAAGCTGCACTTGGACTTGAAATCGACATGTTGCCTCGGTTTTTCTTCCCTCCTATTTGCTCCCGTCGTGCTACTCGCTGGATCATGTGAGCAATCACTTGAACGTCGTCAAAGACACCAGCCAGGTAGAGTTCACATAATAGACGGAGTATCAATCGACGCTTGAGCATTTTGTTCTTGTCATCAGATAGATAGGATCCTTCAAAACTGCTTACAAGAGCTCGCACCATTCCTGGCGCAAACTCCTCGTAACGCTGGTGTAATAATGACGCTACTTTGACAGAAGCCGCTAGGTCAGCGAGCTTGAGGGGTGCATCGGCCAGTGCCGCTACACACTCGCTTATATAACGAGTAAGATTCAACTCGGCAGCATCACGAAGTAGCGAATCGGCATTGGATTCAGTGAGTTGACGCAACTTCTTAACAAAAGCAGAAGAGCGTTTGATGTCGGATTTGAGCTTTAACGTAGCTAGCTGCGAGCGTACAGACGCTACAGCAGCTGCAGAATTTGCTACACGTAATGTAAAGCGCACTTCACTCTGACGCTGAAGCTCGCGAAGCTGCAACAGAGCTTGCGTCTGTGCATCCTCCTCGTCGCGCGTCATAGCAATGTCGTGTGACTACTTTGACGCAAACTCAAAAGTGAGGGTATGTATGAATAATACATTTTGAGCTTATAGAGCAGAATTTATATCGTTTACATCAAAAGCCATTACTAAATAGAGTCAAGAGAAAATTTCAGTGTTTCAAGCTTGCAGTGAAATGTGTTGATCAGCGCACGTGAGTCAAGTTCCAAGTATTTTGAGGGGCGATCGAGAGAAGGATGCACATTGGTAATTCTCAACTTAAATTGTTGCGTACGAACAATGCAAAAATGAGTCTCATGTTGATCGATCGAATTCCCGGGCCATGGGACGATTTGTATGATTACGCCCGCGATGACGCAATAGAATTGCGCCCAATGACTTTGTTGGAAAGGCTTAGAGGTAGCACAGATTCATTAAGGACCTAAATATATTCACTTCCAGCTTGCCTTCTACTCCTCACTTCATCTTTTAAACAGGTTGTAGGACCAAGTGACTCCGACGACGCGCCAAGCGCACCGACCACAGTCAGCCTCAACGCCGGCCACAAAAATGTCGCAGCGTCTTCAGCAATTGTGAAGGAGACGCCGACCGCTCAGGAAATGAGCGACGACGTCAACGCAATTATCGCCACTCTTCTCGACCTTCAGGCAAGGATGACGCAGATGGAGGCCTAGCAAGTGAAGCGAGACGAGGACAAGCGTATGCTCGGGGCAATTGAGTCTGTGATGGTCCACTCTGTCCGTGACAACGGCCGAGGGGGACGCCTATGCACATCCATGTGCTAGGCTATTCGCCCGTGCAGCAGGGGGAAAAAAAGGCACCTCATACGCGCAACGTGCGCATGGGGCAAAAAAGCCTGAAAGATCGGAGTGGGATGCCACACGGAGGAGTGCCGCAGCAGACCAGTTCCACCCGCGCCAGAATGCAGTGGCACAGGACTACGCACTTCGAATGGAGACGGTCGCGCAGCAAGCGATGCGTGTAAAGGATGAGCGTCAGCGCAGGCTCACGATCCGCAAGCTCGAGGGGGCTGAGCTACACCGAGGTCTGGGCTCCGGTTTCTGGACTGGGTTCGGACATTCGTGCACCAAATCCAGTATGCGCAAGCAGCGTGTGGATTTGACTGGTCAGAAGACGTGAAGACCTACTTGCTCGGTCACTACTTGAGTGGGACGACCGAGCTGTACTGTAACAGGCATGGAGAGCTTGGTGGCGCCAGCTCCCAACGCTGGACCATGTTTTGGAGCGACTTCACCAGACGTTCAAGACGTCTATCACAGCACCACATTCAATGAGACTGTGTACAACGACAAAAGACGCCAAGAGGACCTGGCCCGAACATTACCTGTACTTGGTGGCAGTAAGCGATGCGAGCGGAGGTGCTGACGCGCAAGCGTTCGACAACATTGTCCACTATGCGTCGAGCGAGCTGCGCACGGTACCATTGACAAAGTACGATGCCAGGCGCCTCGGCTTCTTCGTGCAAGCTGAAGAGCTCGCAAATTTCACACAGTCTGTCGAAATTGATCCTGCTTCGTCTGGGAAAGACGTCGTTGCAAACATCATTGTGAGTAAACCACGCGTCGAGACACGAGCGTGCTTTGAATATGGCAAGGTAGGGCACATTTTGGCGGCTTGTCCCGACGAAAAGAAGAAAAAAGCATGATGATGTCAAGGGTGGCTGGAGGAGAAATGACAAGAAGAAGGCAGTATGTGCAGGATAGTGGCGCCCACGACAACGTCTAGATCTTGTTCAGCGGGTCCAGCCGGCATCTTGTGAGCAACGCAACACTATCGGAAAATGCTCGTGAATACGAGACCAGTGCTTAGTAGTTGATGGCAAAATGCTTCAGCTGTAGCGTACTGCTTCGGGTAATGGCGATCGGCGAGCTGAGCATCGTTCGCCTGACGGACGCCTACTATGCACCAAGACTAGTTCGCAACATATTGTCATACGGCAAGCTAAAACTCAAATGATACGGATTCGAGTATACAAACGATCGGCGAGCAATCAGATCGCTCAGCACCAGTGACGTCGTCTTTGATGTGGCAATGCAAAACAACGTGCTTGTTGTAGAAGAGCAAGCCAAACACGAAAGCTTCAAAAATGCTGGCTCCATCGTGGCATCGATCACTAAGGTGAAGGAGCGCAGAGAAGACGTGCAGCGTTGAACACTCATGCATTTTCATCAGCGCTTCGGGCACCTTTCGTACGACACAATCGAGATGATGGCGCTCAAGCCCGGCTTTGGAATTCAGTTCACGGACTGTCGACACACGGTGCGCGTCTCGTGCGCGCCCAGAGTAAGGAATCCAAGAACGCGCATTCAAAGAAAGACACGATCGCGCACTCCTCGATCGATAGCATCGATGGTGTGATTTGCTCGGGACTTAAGGGAGCGGCACCAAAAGACCGACTTGGGAATCGGCACCTCGTTAGCTGTCACGATCATATGAGCAATCACTGCCGCGTATTCCTGGCGTGCACCAAGGACCAAGCGGCAAAACGGTCTAAAAAATCGTGGTGGTTTTTGTAAAGCGTTTGGCTTGTCGCGTTCATGTACTACGCACGGATGAGCGTGGTGAATATCGGAACATTGATTTGTTCTGCAAGTCCGTAGGCGTGTCACGGCGGGTGAGCGAATTAAGGAATCAAGCATCAAACTGCAAGGCAGAACGCATACACAGGACGGTTCTAAACACGGCACACTCTAAGATTTTTGCAAGCAAGCTTCCGCTAAAATTTTGGGGAGATGCGGAGGAGTACTCGGTGTACATATTGAATCGCAGTTCCACGAGCTCGAATGTCAAACAAGCACCACCAATCGAGGTGCTAACAAGTCACGCATCGGACCTTCGTGACGTAGTCACTTTCGGCTCAGTATGCACAGTATATCTTTTGTGCATAGGTGCAGATTGGTATATCATCGCGGGTTGCAGCGACGAGACTAAGGGATATCACGTGTTCATACGCAAGGGCAATGTTGTGGTCGTGACCCAACACCTCAAGAATATTAAGGCGCCTTTCGACAGCAAAGTGAACAGTTACGCTATGAAGCAGAAGCCGAGGAAGGGACGTCGTCAATTATCAAGGTCGTGTCGAAAAAAGGCAAGACTGACCAGCAATCGTGGGTACGTGCGCCACAAATCACACGAGGGAGAGCCAAGCGAGCGGCACAAGACACTTAACAAGTGAGATGTGATGTAGCAGCTGTTATGCAAGTTTATGAGACTGGTCCAAAGACGCACGCCAAGACATTGCGCACTTCGAAAGCTGAAGGCTGGAGAAAGGCAATGCTCGAGGAGATCCTGGCTCTCAAAAATAACGGCGTCTGGAATGTGATCAAGCAACCGATTAGGGCCAACCTGTTGCACAGTAAGTGGGTATTTAAGACCAAAACGGATGCGAATGTCGCGGTGGAGCGTCTGAAGGTGCGTCTAGTCACATGCGGGAATGAGCAACGTTTTGGCATTGACTGCGCGCTCACTTTCCCTGCCGCCATGGATGTGTCGATGGTAAAGGTAATGCATCGACGTGGGGGGGCGGCAAAGCATGGTGACATTCCGAACACCCACGTCAAGGCTGACAAGGAGAAAAACCTCAATTTCCTGCTTCATGTGCCGAGTGGTTTGGACATCAAAGCTAAACAACTCAACGAAGAAGCGCTCGAACTGAAAAATAGCCTGTATGGAATGCGGCAGGCTGAACGATTATGGAGTCAACTGCTACACGCACAACTCTCAAGCGTTGGTTACAGCAGTGTATTAGTGACATGTGCCTGTATTCCAAGCGCGACAAAAATAACTTGACAGTGGTTGGCGTGATCTCGTTGTTACAGCAACAAGAGCCACAGCGGTCGACCGATTCTTCGTTTCAATGGCTTTGCTTCCAATCAAGATCTCGGTTCAGTGTCGAAGTTTCTCGGTGGAAAAATGACGGCACGCGATGCACATGCACATGCTCTCGATCAGGAGGAGGCTATATTCGAGCTGTCGCATGAGCATGGTATGGCATCGGCAAACCCTACGTGGACACCACTTAGTGACGACTGCTACGAAGATGTCCTATCCTGCTGTAGGAAAACGCCGACTTCGGGTCGCAATGTATTCCCTCGTTATAGTCGCTGGTGGTTAGTCTGCTATGGATTGCACGATGCACGCAGCCAGATATTGCGTTTGCAGCTCACAAAGCCACGCAACAGACACATGCGTCGTGTGTACGAGACTGGAAATTGGCAAAGAGGATTGCGCACTACCTCAGTGAAAGAAAAGTGATACGGCTTGAAATGCGCGGTAATGCCGACTGCAACGGATCAATGACGCTTGAGTCTTACAGTGATGCCGACTTTGCTGCTGATAAGGGAGACAGGAAGTCGCTCACTGGTGGTATCGTTCTACTAAGTGGGATGCCTGTAAGATGGGCAGCGAAGAAACAGGGTGGTATCTCTCTCTCGACTATGGAAGCCGAATTTGTCGCAGCATTTGAGACAGCTCGCGAGCTCCTCCGTATTCAAGAGATGATTAAAGAGGTGGGACTCGCCCTGGTTCAGCCTAAGCTGATGCACGTGAGTAACCAAGCCGCGATTCGTCAGATCGAAGGAAAGACTTCGTCCATAAAAGCTTAACACATTGACGTGCGTCTCAAGGTTGTCAAAGATCTGGCTCGTCGAGCGTGGTGGGGATGCGCTACTTCCGCTCGGAGCTCATGCTCGCGGATATGTTTACTCAGGCGTTGGATCAGCACAAGCTTGCAAAGCTGCGAGATCTCCTGGATTTAAGCTAGGTATGGCGGCGGGGACACTATCTCGCGGAGGAGTTTTAGAAGATAGGCTTAAAGCATACGTTGCGCGATCAAGTTCTCGGGCACTGGGGCGATATTGTATGATTGCGCCCGCGATGACGCGATAGGATTGTGTAACGGGGTTACATGTACCCTAGTAACAGGTGTGTGTGTCACACAAGATATGCATGGTGTGACCACATCCAAACAAGAATACGGTATGTGGCTAGGTAGCCAGTAGTTATGCATGTAATTAGATTTTACTATATATATTTAGGAAAATCTAAACATATAAATTAGGCGGCTTTGCCGCAAATAAAAATAAATAAAAATCAGTTTTGAATCCAAACCGAAGAGTCTGTTAGCCTTAGTTTTTAAGGTACTCTTGGAGGTAGCGGATTGCGATCCGCTACACTCGTATTGGTTCTCGTAAAGAAAGTAAGGTCGGTGACTTTAATTACGCTTCCTCAAGCGCATAGCTACGGCAGCCCCGCTGCAGACTGTGCCCAATGACGTCATACGGAAGGCTTAAAGGTAGCACAGAGTAGCGAACTAAGGACCGAAATTTATTCACTTCCAAACTTGCCTTCTACTCCTCACTTCATCTTTTCAGCAGATCCGTTCAGCGACTTTTGCCGATCACAATTTACTAGATATTTGGAGTATGATAATGATAAATTTAAGTGTTAAGTGCTGTCCATCAATATCTTCTGCCTGTTGTTGCTCACCAAAAAAAGTATTGATGTCTGAAACAATAAGAAATTATGTAGTTTCTGAATTCAGAGAATAAAAAAAATGCCCCAGCTTTTGCCATATATAAAAAAAATATCTCAACTTTTCAAAAAATAAAAAAATACCCCAGCACGTAAATTATCAC